TATGGCTTCCTGAACAGTGCTGACAATAAAGCGCCCCTGGAACTTGGGAATCATGGAAATTACAGTGGACTTGAATGCTGAAACCTCTGCCAACCCACAGAGTGCTTCGTACAGAGTAGGCGATTAAGTACTTATGGAATGACCAAGTGCCCATCAACTGGAAACTGGATAAAGAAAATGTGGGGTTTTTTAAATAAAATGGAGTACTACTCAGCCATAAAGAATGATAAACTAGAGACATTTATAGCTAAATGGATGCATAATAAGGCCATACTCTTGAACTTTGTTTTTTTTTTTTTTTTTTTTTTTGGGTACCGGGGATTGGACTCGGGTCCTTGTGCTTGCACAGCAGGCAACAAAACCACTGAGCTAAATCCCCGGCCCAAGGCTATACTCTTAAGTGAAATAAATAGGACACACATGTGTAAATACCAAGTAGTTTCTCTGGTGTGAGAAACAAAGTGTAAATAAGGATTAAAATGAATAATTGATAATTTGAAATAGGAAGAAAAGGTCCAAAGGGGTAGGGGAAGTGGGAGGGGAAGGGGATAGGAAAGAAGGGACAGGAAAATTATAAGAAAAGGAAAAAATGGAAACACAGTCTTTGTAAATAGGGAAGGGTGGAGGGGGTGAAGGGAGGGCAGGGAAGGGGGAAAAACAAGAACCAAGAGAGATCAGGTAAAGGTACAAGTTCCCAATGAGAAATGTAAATGAATTGTATACTGTAGGGAACAGGGGAAGGGGACGTTATCAGAACCTCTGCAGTGAGTCCTGGTCTCCTGCGAGCCACGGCAGCACACGGTGAATTACAGGAAAGGTAGACAAATGAGACTGAGAAGAAGCTGAGCTTTGGGTCTGATCAGTGCTGCTCAGGGCAGCAAAGACAAAAGCCCCCAGCTTACCACACCTTTATTCAGTACATTGGGAGAAACAAAGGTAACAAATGGCTTGCAGAGAGTTCAGTACATCCGCGTAAACAAGATGGTAAAGGTCCAAGAATAATGAGGAACTGTGTGGATGTTTGTTCCTCCCAGGATGTTTTCAGCTCCCAGGATGTTTCTTGTCCTGGAGAATCACAGCATCACCAGATCATTGAGGTCTCAGTTGTGACCGGAGGCCAAAATGCAATTGTCTCGGAATTCCATAGCTGGGTTGTAGGCAGGAGAACTAGGCTAACCAAATGATTTTCCCCTAAAATTATGTAGCCTTGCTCCCAACAGTATACCTAATATGTACCAATAAGAGAATTTAAGGGGGAAAAAAGTTCTTAGGGAATGAATAAATGAACGTAGTAGAGAGATGCAGGTTACCTTGAGGAGACAGTTTGATCTTATGGTTTCTTAGTGCAGTGCTGTGCGTGGGTCTTGTGCATGTTAAGCACACACTGTACTACTGAGCCACATCCCCACACCCAGTTGACCTTGTTTGAAAGGCAATAACATTCAGACAAAGGGTGTGCAGCTCACCAAATTTGGTGGTCTTACAGTGAGAAGGGTTTAGAAAAGAGTTTGAGCATACTAAGAGTTGCAATAATTAGTGTGTAACTGACTCAGAAAGTAATGATGGAGAGGTAAGTGGAGTGGAATAGGACACACAAATAGACCCAAACATAGAAGAAAATCTGGTATATGATAAGGTGGCATTTGAGATAGACGAGGGAAAAATACAGGTTAGGATATATGATGTTAGGGGAAAAATCAAACTATCCCTAACTCACTGCAATCACTAAAACAAATTCCAGATAGATCAAATGTGCACAGATAAAAACACAGCCATAAAAATACTTGAAGAAAATATCAGAAAAGATTTTCATAATTATGCTATGAAATCTCCAAAACAAGACACAAATCTCAGAAGTTATCAAGAGCAAGATGAACAGATCTTGTGATGTAGGAAAAACATACAGGGGAACATTTAATACAGGTGTATTAGCAAAAAATTTATTTGCTCTCCATAGGACAGATGAGGGCTAAAAACCTGATATGTAAAACACTCTTACAAATCAAAAAAAAATTTTTGGTACCAGAGATTGAACTCGGGACCTTGCCCTTGCAAGGCAGGTGGCAGCACCACTGAGTTAAATCCCTGAGCCATACAAATCAAATTTTAAAAAAAATATTTAGGAAGAAAAGTAACAATAAAAACTATGAGTAAGAAAAAAAAGACTAATAACATAGGAAAACATATTTTATAGTAGATGACATTCAAGTGGCTGATAACTCCACAGGAAGACAAATCCAAAGTTTAAACAGTAATGTTTATTTTTCAGGTATCAGCTTTGTAAAAATTAAAAGACATTGAGTGTGGGAGGGAGTGTTGGTAGGGTTCTCACAGGCCATTGCTGTTACAAGTGTAAATTACTTTTGGAGAGAAGTTCATTACCATCAAAATTTTATCATGTGTTCCCTTTGATCAAAATGGTTCCACTTTGGGGCATTTATTTATAGAAATATTGGCAAATGTGAGCAAATATCAATATAGAGGAAGTTCTTTGCAGTATAATTAGTAATAACAAAAGATTGGAAACACATGTTGTATTAGCAAAAGATTGAACAATTCATGATACAATATGTGCATATTATAGAGCTGAGAAAAAGGAGAGAGCTAGCAGTAGATGTCAACATGGAAAGATATCCACAACTTAGTGTTCCAACTTGAAAAAAAGAACAAGTTGAATAACATTTATTTTAAATACATATATAACATATTCTTACATGGTAATATATGCTGTAATACACTTATATTTTTATATTTTATTATATTTTAATGTGTATTTCAAAAATGGTTTCTCTCTCATTTATATTCACATATTTAAAAACACATTTATACATCCATTTGATTATATGTGATTATATATACCCAGAAATTTACCCACCAAAATGTTAACAGTGATTTAGATTGAAAATCTAAAAAGTTGAAATTAACATTTAGTTTCTCTATTACTTGAATTTTTTCCAATGAGCATCTTCTACTTTTGTAACAATGTTGAGGATCATTTTTGTTTAAAAAATTATAACATTTGATTAAAAAATATTGATGTTGGGCCAGGGATTTAGCTCAGTGGTTCCGGCACCTGCCTCGCAAGTGCAAGGTCCCGAGTTCGATCCCCAGTACCAAAAAAAAAAAATGATGTTTATGTATCAGTTGGTTATTAAGAGACTGTCTTGAAGGACCGAAGACTCCCATACTAGAAACAAATCGGATTTTTTGCTGGATCACTTCCCCTCCCTGTCTACTAGAGACTTCCTACCAAGACTCCTGGCTTTCTTTTAGAGCCAAGAGAGCCAGGGAGGCTGCTTGTGTTTGTCTGGGTCTGGTGTTTGTCTGGGAGCATAAGTGGCCGAAGTGCAGCCAGGCTCACCAAGCCATCTTGGTTATTGAGTCCAAGCCAGGATGTCCCAAGCGTAACGTGAACTTTCTACCAGGCAGGTGGTGAAGCCTAGCTGTGAAACTGGCATGAGGGAGAAAACTGATGTGCAACCAGTCATGAATGGCAAGCAGACAGAAGGAGAAAGGGAGAAAAGGAGCCAGCACCCCCTACAGGGCTAACGGAGTATGGAGTCTGCCGCCTTAGGAACAGAGGGCAGAGAGGTGGGTGGAGATGGAGGGCACAGTGTGGTGAGACACAGGGAACCCCATATTCTATCCTGCATGGCAGTGGGTGAGGCTACAATTGGTGCTGCTGCTGACATCTGCTGGAAGCTACCTTTGTGGTGGAGATAGCTTCATAATATTGCAAAAACTACTGCATATCGCAGCAATATTCTGTAGCCTAAGAGGAATTGAAATAATGGCATGAAACATGTATTGCACAGAGCAGGGACTCAGTAGATGGTCTGGACAAAAGCAAGGGAAGTTGGGAAGGGACAAAGAAGGGAGGAAATGGGGACAATGACCCAAGGACCATGAGCTCTTTTCTGGCTCCGTGACCTTAGGAGACCCTTTGAGGCGGTCCCTGGAAGCCTGCCTCCACTGCACTGCCTGCCCCCAGGGCTTCCACACACTGCTCTGTAGTGTGGGGGAGGCATTATAGGAGGAGAGTGAAGGCTGGACCAGCTCAGTGATTCTGACCTGGAGTTCCAGAACCCCAGGGAACTCCCAAGATAGAAATGGGCACCACGAGCTATTTTGGTACTTCTAAATGCATACCAAGAATTAAGCATTTGCTCAGGATAAGACTGTATGTGCTGACGGGCCAGGTATCAGTCTTTGGGCCTAGAACTCCATCACTCCCAAGATGAAGGGAAGAATTTGGGTCAAGTTTGTTCTGCAGGAGGACCAACTTAGGGTAGCTGGTACCCAGTTGTGTGCTTTGGGGCAAGGGACTAAACCTCTCCTGGTGTCAGTTCCTTCCTCAGTGCTATGGGGTCATAAGAGTACTCCACTTGATGTGGGAATTGAAGGAGATGATACACATAAAGCACTTGGCAGCCAGCCTGGCCCAGAGTCAGCCCTAGGCAAATGGTAGTTACTATTATTATTAATTCAGAATAGGAAGTCTGGACATCTCATGCTAATCAGGAACTCTGATTGGAGCTATATATATATTGATTAATAAGTAGTAGGAAATGAATGAATTATTAATTACGTAGAGCAACTTGTGTGGAAGACGTCTTTCAAAACCTTAAGACCTCTCCTAGAGAGAAGTCCTAAGAGTGTACTCGGTGGGACAAAGGCAGAGGCCCTGTGTTAGGCCCCTTGAAGTAGGGGTGTAACAGGAGACTAACCTCCCCCTCTTCTGGGCTGTGGCACAATTGTTCCCTCTGTGTGGAAGTCCTTTCTCTTGCCTCTCTCTGGCTGACTCCTACTACATCAGGCAGCCTCTGGGGCCCTTCTCTCTGAGCAGGTCCCTCCTCACTCGGGACTGCAGGCTGCAGGCCCCTGTGACACTCACTCCACTGTGAAGTGCCTCTTGGCAGTGCGGGGTCTGAAGAGTAGGTTCCGTGGGTCCAGAGAGTCTGTGGGTCTCACGTGTTCACAGGAACACCCGGTGCTGCTCACCAGGGGAACACACTTCCAGTTTCAGATCGTGCGCTCTAAGACAGCCAGGAACTTTCCTGTTTGCTCCCCACTGCATCCTCCATTTTCCCACAAGCATCCCACAGTCTCTGTAGCCATTCTTACACCGAAAGAGAAAGTCAAATAAAAGCCAGACAGTGGACGAGACGCTCCAGAAGGATGAATTTTCAGAAGCAAGAGCTCCAGGTGAAGGGGTCAGGGACTGCAGGAGGCCCATGTCCTAGGTCATAGCGCCCTCTGGTGTCAAAAGCTCAGCTCTGCGCCTGGAGCTGCAAGTGGACCGTTAACAGCAAGGGAGCCCACGACTGACCTCCCAGGCCTTGGTTTCCAGCTCTCCACCTCACCCACGTCATCACCAAGGGCAACTTGCTAAGGCTCAGCTCTGACTGCACTCCCTCTTGTCCCACCCTCAGCGTAACTCTGCCACCGGCTCTCCACTGCCTGCCGGACAAACTGTTCGAGTCTTGCACTGTCTGCCCAGGACTCCCCAGCCTCCGGGCCCTCGGCGTCCTGCCGCCCTCCTGAGCATTTTCTAGGCGGTGGACTTACTTCATGCCTTCGCTCATGCTATCCTTCTTAATAGGACTGCTGCCCACTTTCTCCCCGGAGAAACTCTTCAGTGTCAAACGCGGCCTCTTCCATGAACCCTTCCTGGACTCTCCTAGGTAGAAGCAAGCGATAGTTTCTCCCTCTGGATCTCTGGAGACCCCACAGGCCTTCCCTGAAACCATGGACTCCTTGGTGATGCTAACTCAACTTAGTTGTCTCAATTTAAGTTTATCATAGTTATGGAATCAAAAAAAGTCTTTTCCCTGTAAAACAACAAGAAACCTCTAATGCAAGTGTATCCTGGCTACTAAAGAGGCTAAGACAGGAAGATGGTGAGTTCAAGGTCAGCCTGAGCAACTTGTTGAGATTCTTTCTCAAAATTAAACTTAAAAAAATAAAACTTAAAAAAAATACTTAAAACCAGAAATGTAGCTTAGTGACAGAGTTCTTGCCTAGCATGCACAAGGCCCTGGGTTCAATCCTCAGTACCACAAAAGCAAAAACAAAAAAAGCCTTGCACATCAAACTGGGTAAATTCGCCTGCTGGACCACACTTTGCCTGGCAGAATTAGATGGCTCCATTGGAGAACAATGAGAAATTTGAGCCTGGTTTCTCCCGAAGTTCACACAGGCACTGTTTGTCTTTACTGACTTTAATCTACGTTCATCCACTGTAATAAACTGTTACCATGAGTGTGACACTGTTCTGTGAGGCCCAGCAAATCACCAAGCCGGAGGGTGCTCTTGGGAATGCCTAACTCAATATTTTTTGTTTTTGTTTTTGTTTTGGTACTGGGGATCGATCTCGGGTAACTCAATATTGCTATACACTAGCAACATTTATGAATTCAAAGAAAAAATTTACCTTTGCAGAAGTGAAATTACAAATGGTTTACCAGTGAACCAAGTTGGCGTTATGATTTGAAACCTGTATACAATTACTAAGACTGCTAAGAGCAATATCTGGGCATGTCTGAAGAAAATTTCATCACAATTTAAAAATACTTGACATGATAAAAGTATTATTCTATTCTAATGCCCTTTATGTTATTACAAGAAATTCAACATTCTGTGTTGTCAATGAATGAAAAGGCAGAGATGTTAGACTTAGAGAACAACTGCATTATTAAAGGAAAAATAAAAGGATTCAAATTCTGTTAATGATAAAAAAGGTGTTTCTGACAATTGCAGGAAAATGACAGGTACTGCTGCCACTCACAGTATCTACTTATGCAGAGTTTCTTGTCAATGGTGATGATCATGAATTTGAAGAAAGCATAATTAGAAAGACATAATTAGAGATTTTGTCATCATTTCAGCCCTAAAATCTAATATAAAAAGCATGTTCATAGAAGTAAGCTGATTTCTCACACAAAATTTGAATAAGTATTTTATTCCAATTAAATATTTACCATCTTCCTAAATGCTTTGTATCTGATTTCTTTTCAAAACCATGTACTGAAAGAAAAATGTCACTATTTTCACCAATTCTTATTTAGACTTTCCCAAATCTTGAGTTTATCCTTATGTGCCATATAAATGCTCCTGTATTCCATATCTCACCTACGAAGTAAAAGACAATGGGACACACTGAATTAAAATAGTTTTATTGCTGTAAAAGAGCTAAAATAATGATGGCTTGAAAGTATAGACTTTTACATAAGCAACCTAGGGATGCTGTGAGGACTCCTTAACTCAATATCAAATGCATTCCAGCCAGCCGGAAGACAAACAAGTAAACAAAAACCTCATCATCTACCTATTGTACTGACTGTTATTGCGGTGTTCTATATTTGTTGGTCCTTCGGTGCCCAGGTCCATAGTCTGTGGGCTCTTGGGGCAGGGAGTGTCTCTCATTAGTCTAAAACAACAGCAGTTGTGGAGCCAAACTAATGTGGGTTTGAACCTTATCTCTGTTGATTATAAGCCAGGCCATTTATGAAGGTGTTTATCATTCCTAAGACTCAGTTTCCACACCTGTACAATGGAGAGAACCAACCTCAAAGACCTGCTGTGAGAATGAAAAGAGGAATGCAGTTAAAGCACTCAGTAGCGCACCCAGCACTTAGTGTGAGCCGAAAGGTGTTCAGGTTCTTTTGTGCCCCGGAGTCTAGCACAGTGCATGGGAAAGGGGCTGCATTAGTGTTGGTTGTGACAGACTAAACCGAACTGGGCTCAGAGGAGGGATGATAATCCCCAGCTGGGCAGGCCTGCCCTGTGGGCACAGTAGGCTCTAGCATCCATAGAAAGCCCTGGGTAAAGATTTCAGGGCTTAGACAGAGTCATGTGCCCTGGAAGGCAAAGGACCCAGACAGGGAGATGATAGCATCTGCTATAGCAGCAAAGACCATTTATATGTTTTTAGAGAAAAATTTCTGGGTCGATCCTACATGGAGCCTGGGATGGGGAAGGGGGTCTCAGCAGAAGTGGGCTGTGACAAGCAGAAGGGAGAGCTTGTCCTCTGGGCCTGAGGTGGCAGCCAGGCTGTGGTGGCCTTCTGCTTGTCCCCCACATCTGTTCTCTACTTCCTGCATAGGAAGGAAGTTCACTTGGATAGATGATAGCCCTGCCAAGAACTACATCTCCCAGCCTCCTCTGCATCTCAGATATGGCCTTTTAGCTAAATTCTGACCAGTAGATGTGACAGAAGGGCTGTAGGGAACTTCTACATTACTTGTTCAATAGGAAATTGTTCTTCTTTTGCTTCCTTTCTTTCCCTATTCCGCGAGGATAGACATAGACATGTCAGGAACCCAGCCTCAACCATGTTGATGCGGACAATGTCCAGTGGGAAGGCATAGTAAGAAGACAGAAGGAACCTCAGCTCAAAATGGTCATCCTGTCAGCCAGGACCACTAGCCTAAGGTAAATATTTATGTTAGTTAAGCCTTCACTTTTCTGGGTTTCCGCTGTGGAGGCTGAGCCTGGTACAGCTGACCATAAGGTAGCCTTTGAATAGGCAGAGAGCACAACCTAGTTCATGGCTGCTTCCTGAGCATTCAAAGCCCTTCCCACAGCTGGCTGTGAAGGAGGCCTCTGAAGAAATGCGGGAGTCCACATTGGAGAGAGAGAGTCACGCAGGTTGCTGAGCAAAGGGTGGACCTGTGGCCAGTTCAGAGAGGACAGCAGAGCCTCAGCCTGGAAGAAAACAGGAGCAGCTTGAATGGGTTGGAGTTAGGGTTAGGGTTAGGGCTAGGGTTAGAGTTAGTGGTGGCAGAGTTTCTCTTCTGCCTGGAAGGAGGACCTAGATAGGGACTTGTTGCCACCTAACAGTGAGCAGTGAGAGGCTGCAGGTGCAAGACTGCCAACTAGAATGTGAAGCTCAGGATCTAACAAAATAACAAATGACCAGCGGCACATCTGCAACTTAGAGGGGCCAGAAAATTAAAGTGACAATAACAACTGGAAAAGTAGAGTGTTTTATTGGAATATGCATTCTGCTGAAGGAACAGAGATGGAAGTTTCTTTCTCTTTCACCCAATTATCCTGGTGTGGGCATTTGGGGCTGGGTGGTTGTTCTTTGGCAGCAGGGCCTGTATTCCTTCCATCTTGTTGCTCCCCTGCTTGTGTTGGTCCAAGTTTAATTTTCCAGTTAGTTAAACTGGAACTATAAACCCTTTCCCTATGTAGTGAGATTTGGCCAAAAGAGGAATAGATACGAGAACTGGGAGGTAGAAGTGAAGCAGTGGCCATTATTCTCTGAAGGGGAGACGTGGTGACAGACTTGGAGACAGACATGGTGACAGATAGATGCAGAGGTGCTCAGCAGGCCCAACTTTTTCTTTCTTTGCTCCACACATCACCCCTCTGACTATATTTTGGCTCTGCTGACCCTAGGGGCCCCAGGCTCAATTCTGGACACTCAGACTAATGATGAAGTAGTTGCACTGAGACACAGCTCCACAGGCCTCTCCACGAGTCCCCCCTTCCCAGCAGCTGGACATGCCTGGCTTGTCAGATTTCCCAGCCAGCTCTACCATGACAGCTGCCCGCCATGCTAGCTCCTTAGGGAGACTGTGTCTGGTTCCTTCACTTCCTTAGCTCCTCCTTCACTTGTGCAAAGTCTAATTTATGTAATCAATCATCCTGTCACTGGACAGGGTCTAGAAGGTCCCTCAAAGAGGAGATGGGGACCTCAAATCACCTCACTCATGTGGTAGTTTATAGGCTCTCTAACTTCTGTCATGGAAAAAGAATTATCAATATGCATCAATGAGAGGAATAAAGAAGTTTATTAAAAAGAAAGAAGTACACACTCAGAGAGTGTGAGGGAGCTCATAGAGTAAGATGTATTATGGTCTGGAGTTGGGGTATTTTTATGTGGTCTTGGTGGGTGTCCTCAAGGTGGGTGATCTGGGATGTATATTTCTACTGTGTCAGGCTAAACATTTGGTGGGCTGGGTTAGATTATAAACTATTGCATGTGTTTGAAGTTTAGAGATACACTGCCCACTTAATAATGTCTCTTCTTTGAGCCTGGGAGTCTAGGGGAGAACAAACAAGTAACTGGTGAAAAGTGTGGGATAATTGTATCTTTAAGATCCTCAGGAATTTTTGTTTTTTTGGAGTTTCCTGGAAAGGAAAAAAGGCATTGTAATCTTGAGTAACTTTTGTATCCTGAAGCTTCAGCTTTTCTTAAAAGTACAATTTTTATTATTATTATTATTATTATTTTTGGTACCAGGGATCAAACTCAGGTCCTTGCACCCACGGGACAGGTGGTGGAATCACTGAGCTAAATCCCTGGCCCAAAAGTACAATTTTTAAATTACAATTTTTCCTTATCCCCTTTTCACCTATCTTTATTTCTTCTAGCCTACCTCATCCCCTCTCCCTGACTTTGATCTTTTATTCTTAAGGGATACTGGGGCCAAAGGTCCATCTTCTTTTGGATGCTTCAGGCTGAATGGGAGTATTGGCTTGGCCTAACCAGGCATGGAAAGTCATTGATGTAAATCAAATTGGCCTCAGTTTTTCCCACTGCTTGCTTGGGTTTTGGCTTTTTAAAAAAATCTGCTCAGTTTTTATTCATTTATCTAATGTCTTGGTTCTAGAACTTTTACTCTTGCCATCTCATTCTCCATACATGCATAGATTTATACATTTTTCAATCATTGCTTTACTACAGCATTAATGAGGTTTCGGTTAGGAGAGAAATTTGCTATTAGTTCGGTCTACCATCTTAACCCAGAAGTCTTCTCAACACTGCCGTTCTTTATACAGAATAAGCTGTCTGCAGTTTCCTGCCTCTGAGCCTCAACATGAGATCTCTCTACAACACTTTCTTCCACAACCATGCAGGCTGCAGGATTGCAACTGTCTTTTTAATCACGCCTTCAGCAGTGCCTGGGACATTGGAGGTACAATAAATGCTTATTGAATGAAAGAAAGAATGAATGAATGAAATAGATAGCCATTTTACTATAGGTACTGCCAAAGTGAGCGTGATACTCATTTTACTGACTCTTATTTTGTTTGCATAATGAGAATCAGAGGAAGATAATTTGTTTATCTAAAAAAGAAGAGGATCCGGCATGTGTGTGTGTGTCCGGGGGGAGAAGACAGGTACAACTTATAAGAGCCAAATAAAACGTTGTGATTTTTACCATTCATAGAAACATTTTCAGAGCTTTAGTAGATGACTACATTATTCCAAGGTTAGCTTTTAAAAATGACTTAAGAAAGTGCATCCATGGCATTAGAAGACAAAGTTGTTGTGGTTATTCCTGGTTATGCTTGACTGTCAACTCTAAGGAGAACTAGGGAGCCTTTTGGGTTCTGGTAATGTTCAGTGTCTTGGTTTGGTGCTAGTTATATAAGCCTAGGCTAATGTGTAAAAAGCCATCAAGTGATATTTAGGACTTTCACACTGTTTTGTATGTCTGTTATACTTTGAAAAAGCTTACAAAAATGTACATTTTTTGTGCTACTGGGGCTTGAACTCAAGGGCATTCTATCACTGAGCTATATCCCCAGACCCTCCCTTCCTTTCTTCTTTCTTTCTTTCTCTCTTTTTTTTTTTTGTACCAGGGATCAAACTTGGGTCCTTGCACTTGTAGGGCAGGCAGAGTAACCACTGAGCTAAATCCCCGGTCCAGCCCCTTTCTTTTTTGAATTTAAAATTTTTTTCTTTATATGTTTTTAGCCGTTTTTTTTTTTGGTACCAGGGATTGAACTTGGGTCCTTGCACTCACGCAGCAGGTGGCGAAACCACTGAGCTAAATCCCTGGCCCTTCTTTACATTTTTTAATAGTACATGTAATGTTTTCGTTCAAGGTTTTTATTTTGAGACAGGGTCTCACTGAGTTGCCCAGGCTAGCCTAGACCTTGCCAGCTTTCTGCTTCAGACTCTTGAGTAGTTAGAATTACAGATATGTGCCACTGTGCCTATACAAAATATAAGTAAAAATTTTACATTGCAAAACAACAACAAAAAACCAGCCCAACACTGACCACATTATTCCTGTCAGTCCTCCCAGTCATTTTAGCCCACAAACAGATGGGAGTTTTTCCATATCCCTTTGAGCTCAGATTAGGTAAATATTTATTGAATACAGCTATTTTAAAAGGTTGAATCATTTTTTTAAAAACATCTCATAATGGGCTGGGGATTTAGCTCAGTGGTTTCGCCACCTGCTGTGCAAGCACAAGGACCGGAGTTCGATCCCCGGTACCAAAAAAACAAAACAAAAACCTTTCATGATGTGATTTTTCTCCATCCTCCTACATCCAGATTCCCAACTTCTGTTTGCTTTTGAGTGGGAAAATTCCATTTCAAGAGAAAAGCAGCAATATACCTGGACAGTTCTCCCACAAGGGTCTAGAGACACTCCTCACCTTTTTACTTGGGCACTGGAGAAAGACTTGAGGAACTAAAAGCTTAAACAGGAAGTCATCTTACGGTATATAGATGATATCCTAGTTTGTAGCTCAACTCAGAAATTATCAACTACAACACTGTACAGACTCAACTTTCAGTCTAAGCAAGGATATAAAGTCTCCAAAGAAAAGGCCCAGTATCCCTCCCCAAAGTTCAACATCTGGGATATATTCTTCATCTCTGTAGAATAAAGCCAGTCCCATCTGAACCCTCCGAAGAGCAAGATCACCCAAAAGGAAAAAGCTGCTCTTGTGAGCCTCTGGAGGACTCGAGATTTCTCTTCAAAAAGCAAGACTCAAAAAAAAAAAAGAAAAAAAGCAAGGCTCCAGTGCCACTGCAGTAAGTATGGAAATCTGACCTGCCCCTCATATTTGGTCTAATAGTGAAGCTCAGTGGTCATTAACTCTTTTCTTGATGTTTTCTGACAGGTTTTCCTTTCTTCAACCCAGTGAGCCACAGCACTCCAAGGTAGTTGGAGAGCACATAATCCCCAGTAGGGAGGGTCTACAGCCCCTTCCAGCTTGAAGAAGCTATAGAACACAGAGACTTCCACTCCCTCAGCACCCCATAAAGAGTTATGGGGATTTGTGTCTCTTGGGGAAGATGAGATAGGAGATTAGGGCTTGGCAAAGCTGGCTGGGAAAGTAGGCAGGACCTGTTAATTACAAGGTCTCAGACGCATGTGCAGAACAGTTCCCAGAGCCCTGTATGTGGACTTCCTGTGAGAACTCAAGCAGGTTTTCAATAGGATGGCCTAGAACTACATCAGCCTGAGAGGTGGGATCCCAGCACTGCCTCTCAGGACCCATATGTAGAAATTCTCATGAATTTCCTTGAGATTTGGACAGCATAAAGGACACACCAACACCATGAAGAGTGTAACTTTCCACGATAGCCCATGCTCTGTTTCCCAGACACAGTGTATACTTTAGTTTTGCTTTTACCCTCTTTCTCTCTTTACTTAGTCCAAGAGCACTCTACAGAGCCAGTTTCTCCCCCACTCTTCACTTTTACTTTCTCAAATAAAATTTGGCCATTGCTTTTTGCTCATTTTGCTCAATTCTTTCTTTGAGACAAGAAGAACCTAGAATCTAACTCTAGAGAGCAAGGCAAGCAACCCAGAGCCAGTAACATTCAGAGCCACTTTTAGAAGCAGGCTACCCGGTAACAGTTTGATCTGCCAAAACAGACAAGAAAGCAAGACATATGTGCTGTCAGTGTAAGTGATACTTGTGTATGGAACATGCTGTTTTCGTGTGTGAAGACTGCCTTAGGTATGATAATTGAAGTAAAGATTATTTCTGTGGTAAGGTTTTATTTGTATTTTCATTGTAGTTCACATAGGAATTTATATCTGTTATTTTTTAGATTTTATAAGCAAATAAACAATTGATGTTGAAAATGTTTATTCTAAACACTCAGTACATATTAAAAATTTAATATTTTATTTTCTTGTTAAGTACACATTGTATAATATCATAAAACTCATAAAATTAAAATAATTCATCAGTAGAAATACTCCTAAAAAATAAACGTGGGCATTTATAATGCTCCTTTTAAAAGATTTACAGTGATGCCCTAATTCATTGCCTTGTCTCCCACTTGCCTGTAAGCTCTGTGAGGTCAGAGACCCATTTATCCTGTTTATTGTTATATGCCCAGTGTGTAGCTGGTCCCAGCACACAGTAGGCTTTTGGCAAATTTTGTTCCACAAATAAGTCCAAAAATTAAATTGTATCACAAACCCTTTCTAAAGGTGAATCACAAATTTAATTTTTAACTCCTAGCAGCCAAAGTGAAAGAGGATCAACATGATTAAGTAGAAAAACATAAAAATAATTGCTCAGGAGAAGCATAACATCCTCAACCCCTCATTGACCCTTAGATCCCCTTACTGACACCCCTAAGTCACTCCTATTTTTTTTTCTGGTAGCATTTATCAAAATAGTTACAATTGATGGAATAATTGGCTAGGTGATGTTTGTCTTCTTCCCCACTAGATTGTATTTCATTTGTTCGTTTGTCTCCAGAACCTGCATGTAGTAGATGCTCAGTTTCATTCAATAAATTAAAAAGACCATTTTCCTGCCATTGAGTTCAGAAATCAATTCTACAGTAAGTCTTCATAGAGAAGATATAGGATTTGTAATGTAAGGACGAATGATCTCAATAACATCCATACGACAGACATACAAGTGAGAGTCAGAAGTCTGTTCCTTAAAAAGACTTGCAACAGAGGCTAATGGCAGTGCCACAAAGTGCAGTTCAGACAAAATGACTCCATGGAGAACCAAGGAGATGTGGTACAAGGGAGAAGCCACCTGAAGACTTGGCTTGTTTGGAGATAAATTATAAATCATCTGCTGCTGTTCCTGTATATGCTACTCTAACCTGGGAGCTGGGTAGATTTTTGAGGGGCAGTGAATTCAGTATTAACTCTGAGAGGTCCATGGAAACTGTTCTGAATGTCAAAATACATTGAAGCTTTCAGCAGTTGAACTTGAGAGGTAAAATTCATATCCACCACAGAATTAATTGATGCCCTTCATAGAAATATGATGTGATGTAAGAATAATCTGGTGGAGACATCTGTCTCATGTAGGGTCCATAATAATGTACACTGCTATTATATATGACCTTACAGTATAATTATACACTAGTACCTCAACATAGTTTTTGGGAAAATGTAGTAAAAGAGAAAGAAAAATCAACTTTGTAAAAATGTTCTCTCTAGCCTAATAATAAACTTTTAATTGACAAATATACCATAGCTACCATCACCACATATCCCAGATTTGAGGAGACAGTCCTGCCCTGGGGGGGTGGGATAAAGGGTCTCACTATATAGTGCAGGCTGGCCTTGAACACACTCTGTAGTCCAGGCTGGCCTTGAACTCATGGTGATCCTCTTGCCTTCTGAGTGCCGGGATTGTAGGCATACATCACCACACCTGGCCAGTTCTGATTTCTTGGAATTTTATATTTAGTAGAATTTTATTAATTTTAATTAATGCATTATATGGCAAACTAAAAGACCTAATATAAAAAATAAGAGACCTAATGAAAATAAGTAGGCAGATGAAAAAGTAAATATCTTTCAGATTATATGTTCTGAGTTTGGGGTTCAAAAAACATGCCAAACATTTCTAGTATCCCCATCTGTGGGAACCCCTCCAAGCTTCTCAGGTTAGTTAGATAGTCCTTACTTCTGAGTCTATCCTGGCCCCTCCAACAATGTCTGCCTGAGCCTCGTTTGATTCTTCTCTCCTAGCATCTACTACTTCCTATTGAGATTATTTGGATTTGCTACTTGTTACACTCAGAGAAAGGATTGTCTCCTTTTAGCTCCAGTAGCTGCAAGAAGGGCTGGTAAAGCCTTCACAAAACTTCCACAAGCCCTTCAAAACCACCTCAAACACATGCTTTATGTATAACTTATATGCCGCAGAGCTTCAAGAAGAACTCCATCTCCTGCTTCCAACTAAGCTGTGCCCCCAGTATCCTCCCAGAATCACAGCTTGAGAGGGAGAGCCTTCTGCCCACAATTACTAGCACAGAGCTGGGCACATAGCAGGCCCTCAGTAAATGTCTGATGAACTGAATTAAGACTATGAAATGATCTCATGACTCTAAATTTCCTTGCAGTCTGGCTTTTTTCCACTTGAGTAAGACAAATGAGCTTTCTACAAGAAAACCAATTTTTGTATTTCAGTTGGTGGGAAGACATCACAAAAGCTTCCTTACATCAGCCTAACTCAAAAACCCAAGGGTCTCAGATGTTTCCAGGTAACACTTCCCGAGGGTGATTTGCAGGCAAGGATCGCTACGGGGTCAATATGTCAATATTCTCTGGGTACCCACTGTGGCCCCCGCATTCTCCCAGCTGCCTCAGAGTCGAGTGACCTAATCTAATGATGCAAAATAGATGAGCAGTCAGGAGACTGAGAGATTTAGAAAAAATTTCATCCAGCAAGCACTCAGCAGAGCCATTATATGTATATAAAACTCAACAGTTATAATTTCATATTCTAGGCCAGGCTCCAAACATTTGTATCCAAGGTCTATCTAAGAGACATTTCTGTCTCTGAGAGCAATGGTTCATGTGCCTGTGATTAGCACAATGCTCACTTGAAAGGCACCTTTGAACCTGGAGGAAAATGGCATCCAATAAAGCCCAAGTTTATGTAATGAGCACTTGGATTCCTGTTGCACATGATGAGAGGGGTTTTTTTAGTGATTCAACCTTTTAAAATAGCTGCAGTAAACATACATTTACCAAATCTGAACTCAAAGGGATATGGAAAAACTCCCACCTGTTTGTGGGTTTAAATGATGAAGGGCAGGGATTCCCAGCCTGCAATATCATGCCTGGCTTCACTATCAATCTTGTCATCAAGGTGCAACAGTGACAGTATCAAAACTACTTTGTTTTTCTTCACCATAATGTAGTCCAGGCTAGCCTGGAACTCACTATGTAGCATGGGTGGACTTGAATTCACAGGATTCTCCTGCCTCAGCCTTCTGAGTGCTATAGGTTTTTTTTTTATCAAGAGCTAATTTTTTTTTTTTTTTGGTGGTACTGGGGATTGAACTCAGGACCTTGCGCTTCCAAGGCAGGCGGTAGCACCACTGAGCTAAATCCCTGGCCCTCAACAGCAAATTTTAATGGCCTACTTTTGTGTTGGCAAGCAAATAGGCTTTATTTTCAGAATTAATACCCACTTCTTGAAGTGATTATGTATCAATCAGTAGTCCCTAAACACTTTTTGAATAAGTAATTTTCTCACATAATTTATATCAATATATTGGCAGGTGCAAACTAATTATTTTTCTAGGTAGATAATGTTGTTAAAGTAGGTAGTAGAACAAAAGCAGGATACAAAACATGAATAAATCCCATTATGAGACCTTCCAGCTATCAGATTTTCTAAATAATAAATTGATTCAAATATATTAATAAGGTGAATGAGTTCAAATTTCATCCTGATAAAAAAAACGCTGCTATGTTCAAAGACATAATACATCACTGCATAAAAATTTCTTTTTGTGTGTAATACTTGCAAATAGTTCCCATGCTGGTCAACTGGTGTTTTTTTAGTAAAGGTAACATCAATGGGTAACCAGTGAGCCAACTGTCGAAAGTGATATTTTGGTTACCTTTTTGAAATAGGTGCAACAAGCCTGTTCACAAAGTCATGTGGTTTATTACTGCATGAATAAAGACCTGATGGCTGAGTTCCAGGATGAATTTCTAAAGTCAAGGTATAAAATGTCTTCACATCTATCAGGGGATATATTTTTATGCCATATTTGGAAGGTTTATTTGGCTGAAGGTTTATTTACCATATTTGCAAGGTTTATTATTGCTGAAAGCTACAACAACCACAAAATGATGAAGGTGTTTGTCAACTGTCATGTATTCAGAAGGTGTATAAATTATTGGCAGTTCAAACTGAAACAAAGCTTTCAAAAAATAAGCAAATAATAGCCAAATTGTTGGATTTTTTTCTTTCTTGGTGGGTCTTTTTGTCATCAAAACATAGGCAATTTTGAAGGAAACCAAATCTCTTGAGTGTCATTATTGTTCTAAAAATCTCAATACCACATATATCACTACTCCATAAATCCTTTAGATTCTGGCAATTAGAATGATAAAGTCCTGTTCTGAAGGCTTTTAGTTTAGCTAGTGAGGGGTCATGATAAATATATTTTTGAGTATTACTATTGGAGCATATAGAATGTTTTACTTGTATTTCATTTTTGGTGTATTTCACAACATCTTTTAGCATATCGTCCATTACAAACAATTTTCAACATTGAATCATGGTGCCAGCATTCCATCTAATAGGCCTCATCCCTGGCAAGAACCTAATAATATTTTTTACCCTAGTTCTAATGTTAGATTGTAGCATTTTGACTAGTCAAATATTTATTTACATTACTGTTTTTCCTCATTTGAATCAAATTCTGTACTTCTCTGTCTGTCATCCCTCGCTAACTTCTTTGGCTTACATGATCCAAGTCATCATCGGTAGCCAAGATACCTGATGTCTCACTTTAAACCTCCTCCCAGAGTTGTAAAAGTGGATTTTCATGCTATATTGTACTGAATTGGGCTAATTTTTACAAGAAAAATCAAAAGAAAACATTAGAAAAGTATATAGTATGGGCATCTGCTACCCTGAGTGAGGAACCAATTAAAAGACAATTTGGTAGAGCCAGGGATATAGCTCAGTGGCACTGTGCCTGCCTGGAAAGTGCAAGGTCCTGAGTTTGATCCCCAGTACTGAAAAAAAAAAAGACAATTTGGTAAGTGCTATGGTTGGGAAAGAACAGGAAGCAACCGAAGAATGAGAGAGAAGTTCTAACACCAACTTAGAGAGAAACACTTCAGATTACTTTGGGGAAGTGAAGACCAAGCTGAGCTGTCATGTTAATAAGAAAAAAGGGAGATGGGATGTCCCAGCAAAAGTCTGGGCAAAAGGTGGAAAAGAGAATACAGGCACGTTTGGGGAACGGAGAGTTCAGCATGGCCAAATCACGCAGTGGGTGATGTGGCTAGAGAAGTAAATTGACTACCCCAGTTTGTGGGTAGCCTCATAAATCATGGTGTGGTTTTCACTTGTGTTGAAAGCAAAAGGATTACTACCTTTTAGTTTGTTTCATTTTTCCTCTCAATTTTACATAGAGCCTTAAATACTTTCTTGAACAAAACAAGAGTAAAATAAACTAATTTACTAAATAAAATCAGCTCATTTCAGGGGGAGGGGTGCACACCTGTAATCCCAGCACTAGCAAAGCTAAGGCAGGAGGATTGCCATTAGTCTAAGGCCAACCTGGGCAACATAGTGAGTTCAAGGCCAGCCTGAACATAGCGAGACTCTGTCTCAAAAAAACAAAACAAAACAAAGGAAGCTCAAGTGAGGAAAATTCAATATAACAATTATATTAGGATAAACACAAACAATAAGAAAGGATATATATGTACTGACAGTGTTTGTTTCTGGGGAAAAAAACTAGGTGCAGGAGAACAGGGGTGAGAGGGAGGGTTTTATTATATATTCCCTTTTCCTGTTCAAATTTTGTACCATTTACATATTTATTAAAAATTAAATAAACTATAATGTTGGAATATCCCAATCTATAAAAAATACAACCAATTTGTCAATAGACACAGTCTCTTGCCCCATTTCTCACCTAGATAATCTGTGAGAATGTCAGATGTGGAAGTGAAAAAAGTCAAGGAAGCCTTAATGAGGAAACAGCAAGATTTTGTGATGGGTAGAATGGAGGAACCAAAACAGAAAGAAGATTCCAAATGAACCTTCAAGTTTGCCCTCAGGAGGGAGTTTACATTTGTTCCATCTTGGCTTCGTCATCTGTAATCTAGTAATGATGCCATGTGCATTACAGCGTAGGACTGGGAATTAAGCATGCTAGATCCTGGTTATTAAAAGGTGAACAAAACTGTACCTAATAAGGAAGCTGAGGCATAGAAAAATTAAGAAAACTCAAGGAGACAATCTGGTGTGGAGGAGACAGACAAGTAAATAGGCAGTTTCAGCACACCATAATAAGCTCTGGTATGCTAAGGGACATGTAGGTGGCATGCTGTCTTCATCAGGTTCCCCAGGAATAAAGCCTGAGATCTGGCTTTGGTGTAAATGTCTGATTCAGGAATACTCTCAATTGAGGCCTGTGAGAGAGTGAAAGAAGCAACACATGGCAGGGAAGAAGCTAGAGAAGATGTATGTCTAGCTGAGAGAGACTATGGTGGAGAAGTGTCATGTGGTCCCCCAGAACAGTGACCAAGCAAATGGCTCATTTTTGTATCTCCTATAGCAGCAGTGGTGAACCTACAGCACACATGCCACAGCTGGCTGTTTGTAATCACTGAAAGCTCTAAAAGATTTGCCATCACAGTCCTATAGCATCTTCACGTTGTCAGCAAGCACACTGCCACCATCTACCATGTTCTACTTTCATGGACATCAAACACTTCTTGGAAGCATTTGTGGGTGTAGGCCACCTTCAAACATGTCCTTTGCATTTCTGACTTGGAGCTGAGGAGAGCTTGCACAGACTGCAGAGCAGGAGCAGAGATGGTCCAGGTTGGGAAGGAGACAGAAGGCTGTGGAGCCCACTAACTAGTTTCTTGGAATCTACCCATTTAGTCATTTTCCTGAGACGCAAACCAGAATATGTCACATCTTTAACTCCTTCAATGAAGATAGGTAAGAACTCGAGGCAAATTGCTTCTGGGAGAGAAAACAGGAACACTGGGGTTCGCGGTGCGAGACTGATTTTTCATGGATACTCTTGTGTAGTGTTGGAGGGGTAACCACATGCATGGATTTATTTACTATTCAAAAACCAAACCCTCTCTTCAAAACTTCCTCCTGCCTTTCATTATCCTCAGAAGAAAGACCATTTCTTGACTTGCTTTATAACCCTCTCCAGTCCATGATCCAGGCAACCTCTCCAGCCCACTATGACTCAGCCACCCTGGACTTCCAATTCACCAGTGTCATGCTTTTCCTTCTGGTTCACCCTTTGTTCCCATCTCTCCCTTCTCCATCTTTGTCAGGAAACTTCAGTCTCGGAGTCAGAGTCACTTTTTTCAGGGCTGACTTCACTGCCTGAATACTGATCCATCAGCTCGGTCAGAACTCCCCTAGGAAATCTCCTCCCCCATTTCAGCAGCAGGCACTTATGAAAGTGTCGGATGCAGTGTAATGAGCGGATCAGTTTGCCTAAGAGGTCAGGGTCCTTTGGGAGCTAGCGCAGTGCACGGCATAGAGTGGATGCTCAGGGAATGTCCGCTGGATGAATCCAGTCTCACAACCCTTGTACATCTCAAGCAGGATTTGTGTGGGTAAGGAGAGGAGACGAGGAGTTGCAGGAGTTGCGCCAAGCAGCCTTCTTAGGCTGCTTTCTTGTAGGCGGGGGCGACACTGTCACAGTATCATGCCTCACGGCTGGCAGCCCGTGGGAGGGAGAACGTCCAGGAAGACCGAAGCTGCTGCAGGAGGAAGAAAAGTCAGGCGGCTAATATGCTTTGCGTGAGTCACAACACGGCCTTCCCCTAAAGAAAGGAAATCGGGACCACCCGCTAGGCCCAAAAGGACAGAGGATGAACCTCCAAGATCTGTCTCGCGGAGGGCGTCCTAAACCTGCGCCTGCGCACTCGAGTCCCACCCCCCCGCGCGCGCGCGCGCGCGCGCGCGCCCGGGACCGGACCCGCTCCGCCCCGCCCCGCCCCGGCCCGGCCCGGCCCGGCCCTCTGCGTGCGCACCGCCTAAAGCCCGCCTCCCAGAAAGACTGCCGGCGCATGCGGCCGGAGCGGAACACTGGATGCTGGCGGCTCAACGCGTTAGTCGCTGGCCTCGATCTGCAGCTGACGGGAGGATCTGAAGCCAGCCTCGGGTAAGCCGACTCCAGAGATCCCGGAGGAAGCGCTCTCCTGTGCGGGAGTCGGCGGCGCCAGCCGAGCGCAGCATTGACGGCCCCGCCGCCGGTGATGGATGCCACTCCCTACCAATCAGGGGCGAGGTGCCCCGGCGTCCTGCCCAATGGGGTGTGTTTAAGGGGAATGGGGTGGGAGCCCCAGGGCGGCGAGGTGCGGGGCTCCCGCGCGCGGGCCGCGTGGCTGGACGCCGCAGGCAGGGCGAGCCAGCCGCCGTCTGGGGGAGGCTGCGGGGCCAGCGCTACAGTGCCCGCGAGCGGCGGTCAGCCTAGCCTAGCCTGTGGGTCCGAGAGGACAGTGGAGGCGCAGAGTACCCGGCGCTCGGCCATCCCCGGGAAAGCCGCTCCGGTTCCCGCTGTCCTGGCCGCGGCTCCTGGGGCTCGGTCCACCTGGGAGGGGGCGCACAGGTCCGACACTGCCCGCCGCCGTGGGATGGGCCTAGTGGCCTTGGCCCGGGCGAGGAAGGGGCCTGTTTGCTCGACGGCCAGGAGCTGGCTCCGTGGCCCCGCCGCTGTTCCCTCGTTCGCGGCGGCATGAGGATGGGGCGTTCTAGGGAAGTACTCTGCGTTTGCGTGGCGCGTTTACGTCCACACTTACAATTTTGTTAGCAGCCCAGTGACGCGGGCATTACGTAGAGACTCACCCCATTTTACGGCGGTGTGGACCCAGGCTTACTGGGGACTTAAGTGGGGTCTCAGCACACGGGCAGTGGAGCTGGAACTTGATCTCACAACTTCAGCTGCCCCTCTCCCCGTCTACGGTGAAGTTCTCTGATGCGTCTGATTTATGTTGCTTCTGTGCTTAAAAACCTTCCAATGTCTTCTCATCACTTGCAGAATAAAGTTCAGCTGAGCATTTAAGTTTGCACGAATTGACCCCATCCCTACCCTATACCTTCTTCGCTAGTGTTTTCTTGGCGTTTGCCTCTGTTCTCACCTGCCTGTCCGCTCTCCCATGCTTAAAGACCTAAGTTAGGTCATGCAGTTGGTCGTAAGGCCATAAGTCAGGCCTAGAAAGCGGCTAGGGGATCTTCCCTCACCCCGGGGCGTCCCTCACTGCCCTCTGGTGAGACGTTGTATTTATCTTAGTCCTGGCACTGAAAACCTGCTACTCTTTCTGATTTTACGTTTGTAGTCTTCCTATCTGTCCTGCTTCTCACCATCACTGGATTGCTCTTCTATTTTTAAATGTTTTTCTGCCTCAAAATGGGTTGCCAGCACTTGAAGTATGAGCCCAAATCTGGTTTTTTTTGGGGGGGGGCGGGGTACCGGGGATCAAACTCGGGTCCTTGCCCTTGCGCAGCAGGCGGCGAAACCACTGAGCTAAATCCCCGGTCCAAATCTGATTAATTTTTATGGTCCCTACAAAATGTAAGTGGGGTATTCCATAAATGTGAGTGAAAGAGTCTTCTCAGCCTCTCACAGGATTTCTGTGGCTACTGGAATGTTTATATGCAGACACTGTGGGAGATGCCAGAATCTCCCAGAGAAGGGTCACCTTAGTAAAACGAGCCAGTCAAATGCAAAGGGTTGAAATAAGTTTTTTGTAGAAGTAACCCATTCTATAATCCACTCAGAGTGGCTGAGAAATTTCTAGGAACATATAAAATTTAGTCAGTGTGAGACCAGGATATATAATCTCACCAAAGGATGCCTGGTCAGGATTGCTAAAATGTAGCCACATCTGAAACTCATGTATCAATAAGCAACCATTCAACTTTAAGGTGATAGAGTTTCCCCCAGTTAAAGGGGCTTCAGCCCAGTAAGTTTGAGGAAACTGCATGCTATATATTCCTTTTAGGAGATCACAGTTTATATTAACTTATTAAACTGCCAGTGATCTTTCATTAAAGAAACTGGATGACTGTTTAGTGAGCGTTTCTCTGATTTATCTGTCCATAAAACTCTTGGGAAACCCATATACATTTTGAGGAAACCAAAATTCATGCTTCTGAAGCAGCTGCAGGAGAGACTAGAAAGAACCAGACAGTGTCTTCCCTGCAGTCCTAGGGAGAAGACATTCTGAGCATTCTTATTTCTTGCCTAGTGTGTTCATTCCTTCATTCTGGGGAAGAGTGGGGCCCAGGAATGCCTCAAACCAAATTCTTGGTTCCTTGCACCTTTCTCAACTTGGTTATAATTTGGCTTCACATGGAATGTTTCTAGAGGAGGAAAATGGCTACCTCATGCCAAAGCAAATATTCTCTGTGACTTGGTGATCACGTTTCTCTTTTTGATCACATTTGGGCTTGCCAACAGAATAGTATTTCTGGGCCTCAGAAGCTGAACAGTGATGAATTCTCCCTAGGGAGCCTGTTACCATCTCCTTACTGATTATCGATGCTATTTTCAGCTGCCTCTTGACTCTGCTGTCTTTGAGTCCACCTCACTATCTCTCAAGTCCATTTCTTATACTCCCTGCACGACTATACTATTCTTTGGATTTCATCTCCCCTTTCTGCCTTCTCTGCCCACTGTGTGCTTCAGACTGGCTTATTGTCTGAGGTCCTCCCCCAATATATACAGTCTCTGTTGATGGCATACCTAGGAGAGATTGCTAGCAAGGAACAAGTTGTTATTAAATTACAAAGAGCGCTGTCTGTACTTGAGTTTTAGGTTTAGCTATAATTCCTTTTATATATTCAAGTCCTTTCCTTTTGGCTTGTCTTCCAAAACTTAGGGGAACTGTGTTTTCTCAGTGATACATTGTAGCTTAGCCAAACACATTATTACTTACATGGAGAATTGGAGTGCTTATCCAAGATTGCAAATTTTTTTCCCATATAGGGGAAATAGTGAAACATTTGTCTGGTATCCCAGTGTCTGGCAGTGATATCAGCCAATATTTTAGGCAGAGTGTTCTATCAACCCTTGTAGAACTTTTTTGATTCTCAAGGTTGTTGTCAAAGGTTTAAACAAAATCTTCATTATTGTGTAAGAGTTGTTTTCCTACTCATGTTTGACTAATGCCATTCAATAACCTAAGAAAAGCACCAGTTATGAACTGATTTAAACCTGACAAGGACCTTCTAAACTCATGGGACATGATCAAGAATTCATGTTCATGGCCAGTAATTGGCAAAGCCAGTGTATGAAGAGAGTTTGGCTTGTTGAGATATATTTTAATCTATAATTTTTCTTTCCTTCAGGTCAAAAAGGAAAATGAAGTACATTCTAGTTACTGGTGGTGTTATATCAGGAATTGGAAAAGGAGTCATCGCCAGCAGTGTGGGCACCATACTGAAGTCCTGTGGCTTACATGTGACTTCAATTAAAGTTGACCCCTACATTAACATTGATGCAGGAACATTCTCCCCTTATGAGCATGGTAAGTGATAGTCATTTCTTTCTTCCTTCCCCTCTCTAATTGGGTATGTGAAAGAACATGTTAGCTCTTGGGAATTGTATGGGCATTTTGTAATAACTTCCATTTCCTGCCTTCTAAAATGGTTCTTAGTGTAGCAGAATGATTTTTTTTTTTCCCCTTATCTGGAGAGGCAGAAGTAGAAATCTTAATAGGCAAGTTAATGATTAGAATCTAAAAGTTTCTATAATAGAAATGATCTGTTTGGTAGCAGCTAATGGAAAATTTGTCATTTCTGTTGGAAAAAACATACTTGGTGATGTAATAACTTTCTTCAGAGGAGTATCCTTTTTGAATACTCCTATTTGAGGAGTATCCTTTTTTTTAAAGCAGCATTAGAAGGATTTATTAGAAGTAGATACAGGATGTACTCAAGAGCCAAGTGTGGGTGCTCAGAGAAATGAGGCACAATACAGTTGGAAACAGGATCTTTTATGTGTTTTGGGAGGTGGAATTTGATAATCTATAGTCTTAGAGGGTGGGAGAAGATGGCCCACCCTTAGTGAGCCTGTTTCTATGGGAAATGCCAAAAGGGTGGTCCCTTCATGGGTGAAAGAGAACCATTTTCAAGTAAAAGAGAATGGGCAGACCTTTTTGCAGCTGAAAGGGAGTTGCCCAGGTTTGCTGTTTCGGGAGAAGGCAAAAAGTAAATGAACAGGCTTGTGTTTTGAAGCTGCAGGTTTTCTTTAAAATACAATTTTTTTTTTGGTACCAGGGATTGAACTTGGGACCTTGTGCTTGCAAGGCAGGCACCAGAACCACTGAGCTAAATCCCCAGCCCTTTAAAGTACAGTTTTTAAAATTTTGATTTTCTTGTCTCCTTTCTATCTAACTTTTATTTCTTCTATCCTACCTTGTTTTCCCTTCCTGAGACTTCAGTCCCTTATTCTTAAGGGGTTGCAGAACACTGATGGTCTATGTTCAGTAACTGTTTCAGGCTGAGGAGGAGGAGGATTGATCCTATCTAGCCAGGGACAGAAAGTCTCACCCTAACTGAGCTAATGGAGACATAGGAATATGGGGTTCCATCTTTTGAAGAAACATCATCTTTCTATAGTCTGAAAAAGAAGGCAAGGACATATGAGACATTAGCCCACAGCAACAGTGAATCATGTAACAGACAAGAATCCCAATGCCTAGTATTGTAACCAGAAAAATGAGGACTTTTTTGTCAACAGCATGTTCCAGAGAACCAAGAAGCCAGCCAGTCATTAAAGCTTATGGCAGAGTGACATTGCATTGATTTGTGAACGTAGATCACATAATGCAGAGGGCAGAAGACACCTTTGCAGAATTGTCAGGAATGTATCTGCAACATTCTGTTTTGATAATGGCACATGTTCTTCCTTATGCTACTGTTAGAATATCTAGGTCTATTCAGTTTTGTAGAATGGCTTTGTCTTACTTTTCTCTTGGTGCGACAAAATACCGACACTCAAAGTTAAAGGAGGGAAGGGTTCTTGAGCTCACAGTTTGTAGAGGTTTCAGTCCATAATCAGCTGGCTCCAAGGCAGGGTGGCATGGCAGAGGAGAAGCAGTTCATGGTGGACAGAAGGTAGCAAAGCAACAAGGAATGACCACAGCTCTTTCTGTCCCTTTTATCTTACCCACTCTACTTCGGTTGGTAGCACTCACATCCTTAATCCTAGCGCCCTTGATCACAGCATTGCACCATGAATCAATCCCAGCGTCACACACTCTAGATCCAGCCACCTCTGAAAAAGCGTCACCTATGACTACATGAGGCTTTGGGCGGACATCTAGACACAAGTCAAAACAGATTTTTCTGATCATTTTTACTTCTGAATTTAATAATGAAATACCCTCTGCGGTGTTGTTTAGAGTAAGTGATTCAATGTGCCCCATTACATCTCAAGTCCTATTTGGGGAACAAAGATAGCACCCAGATGATCAGACCAGTGAAAAACTGATCTTGGTCCATCGATTGCTCAAGACTAGGAGGTTTAGCCCAGTACCCTTGGACCCATGGACATCCTAAGGTACATCTTCTAATCCACCCTGGAGGCAACCAAGGCCACAGGTTTCTACCACAGAGCCACTGGGTAACCTTTGGGTCTGGCCATGTTTTTTTTTTGGTGCTGGCGATCGAACTCGGGACCTTGTGCTTGCGAGGCAGGCGGCGGAACCACTGAGCTAAATACCCGGCCCCTGGGACTGGCCATTTTATTCCAGCTCTTATCATCCAGTCAGTAGCAACAAGTCAGTATCTCTTAACACAGTAGTGTGAATACAGCTATGGGTAGGAATCAACCCCATATTAACATAGGAGGAAAAAATTAACTCCCGACCTGCTAGATGTCAGACAGGCTGAGTTCATGTTCCTCAAGGTTGAAGAATGAATTCTAAGGAACAACAGAGGTTAAGAGTAGGAAAATTTATTGGGGACTAAGAATGGAGAATAGGAATAGCTCCTGAGAGACAGGAGAGGTCCAGAATGGGTTGCCAACAAGCCCACTTCTCTGAGAAAGTTTTATAGAGCAAAATCACAAGGTGGGTACAACATGGGTCAAAACTATAATTAATCAGTAAGGTTACAAGTATAGCCACTTGGCTAATATTGATCTAATAGTAGCAAGGACATTTGAATGACATCATTAACCTTGGTTGAAAATTTATAGTCTTAATCTTGTCTCTAGTCTTAGTAGTCATAGTCTTAGTGGGTAGGAGAGGAGGGCCATCCCACACCTAATGAGGCACTGTATGCTTATTCTTTGTAGCCCCAGTCTTCAGAAATTGCATGGGTGGATAGAATTTGTAAGGACATAGATTTTGGCCAGTATAAGAAAGAGTTTCGCAATAGCAAATGCCCTCTGAGAGCAGGGTGACCAGACTGAAAGCTGCGAGTTGCCTTTGGTGGAGATGTTTAAACAGAGGCCAAGGACCACTTTGTAGGGATTTAAGCAATAGGTAAATGCTGGATTTGGAGGATCTGTAAGCTTGAGGTTCTGTTTTGCTAATGGCAGTTTGGATAACATACATATATATGTATATATATATATATACATACATATCTTTTGAGGTGAGTGAAAAGTCTAAACTATTGGACTTTGTTGCTGTTGTGTTCCTATCGACCACGTGATAAATTCATCGTGTTTGAGTTGCCTCAGATTTATCGCTTTAAATCGCAGGAAATGTACTGTTAACACATACCTTGAAGTTTTAAAGTTTTGTATTTTTACTCCTGTCTAACAGTGAGGTAAAAAAATCTATAAAGCTGACTCTGTCATTGCACAGAAAACTTCATGTAATGATTAGCATCAGAAGATCCATATACTAGAGGGGATATGTATCTGTAGACTCACAGCTTTCAGAATCTGGTTACCCTGCTCTCTGTGGGCATTTGCCATTACAAATTCTTTCTTGTACTGGCCCACATCTACACCCTTACAAGTTTTTTCCACCCCTGCAATTTCTGAAGCTATAGATATATATGGTAAGAAGGGGGTGGGATAGAGATAGGTATTTTTTGGTGGTACTGGTATCATACCCATGGTCTTGTACTTGCTACCCAAGAGAGCTCTAGCACTGAGCTCCATCCCCAGCCCCTGCAGGGGTGTCTAGTATGAAGTTCTTGAGCAGAGGATGCATTGTCTCTGAGGGGGGAAATACAACACTTTTTCTTCTCCTGCTTTTGAGCTTGACTTATTGTGACATAGGTATGACTCATTCTCAGCAGAATTTGTAAAATGAGGTTGCAAGGAATGAATATGAAACAAAAAAAAAATGAGAGGAACTCAGGCAGTTTTTCTACTTTGTTTGGAACTAAAGAGTAGCCCAGAGGCTGATTTTTATAATAAACACAACTTTTCGTATGTGTATGTCATAGACATGTTGAATAGGATCATACTTTCATCATCGTTTAAAGCTTATTCTACACAGGTAGGAAGCTTCTGTGTGTTCTTTCTTTCTTTCTTTCTTTCTTTCTTTCTTTCTTTCTTTCTTTCTTTCTTTCTTTCTTTCTTCTTTGTGTTCTTTTTCTATAGGGAGAAATAGTTACCCTATTACTTATCATAAGTGCCCTTTTCTGACAGCCTTTGGGATGGCATTGCCTTCCATGCATGCTGTTTTATCTCTTCCCAGAGACAGCATTTTTGTTGGCAGAGGGAAGTATGAAGTTAACTTTTATTTTATTTATTTACTTACCCCCCCATTAAGTTTATTGGTACATTTTAGGTATAAAATACATTTACAT